GTGAGAAAGAAAGAAGGCGCTTCTGCCCTGCCCGCCGGAGCGACCCGCGCGGAGCCATGGCCGGGGCCCTCACCACTAAGACGGCGTGGAAGCTGCGTGAGTGTCGCCGGGCCGCTCTCCCGAGGGGGCGCAGAGGAATCTCCCCCGCTGGACGGCGGTGGAAGGGGCGGGTTGTGGCAGGAGCCAGCTAATCCCTGCCTTGGGTGTGGGTGGGTGCCCCGGCCCTCTTTCCAAGTTGCTGACTGGGATTTTTAACGCCTAGAAATCCTTTTTGAAAACAGCAGCATGGTGGATGAGCACAGGGCCTTGTCATTGCTGTTTTTAAAGGGTCATGGCCTAGGCTTTTTCTGATTAGTTGCTGTAATGCTATCCTAAATTTTTAGGTAGCCCCACATGACTCTCGTGTAGTACAAGAGCAACCAAGGGAGTGATGAAACCCCCTTCCGAGCCCAGGCTGCAGCCGGGAGTTCCCTCAGTGTCAGGTTGGCCTCTTTGGGGTTTGCCCTTTGTTGCTGTTCACTTGTTACAGGAGGTGCGCTGAGCTCCCTGCGGGAGAGATGAGGTGGTCTTTGCAGGGCCTGTGTGTCTCATTCTCTTGACATTGCCCTGCAAGAGACTCTAAGAACCTGCTGCTTTTACATTTTACACTGTTTTTCCTCAGAAGGAGCAGTAAACAGTTGCTAACTGTCCATGTCTAGCTGCTTTGCTCGTTGCTGATGAGTAATTTTGTAGGGGCTGTTGACGAATGCTTAGCAGTGCAAAGTGATCGGTTGTTCAGAAGTGCGAGCTTTAGACCCGTGACTTGAGGTTTAGAAATCGGCTGGCAGAAATAGCGTATCCTTGGCTGGTAACACGTTAAGGGAGCGAAGATAATCAACTCAGTAGTTTCATATCTTTTTGAGCAGAAAGCCAGTTTGCTACGTTACCTTCCCATCCCTGAAACTCCAGTTACAGGAAAAGCTGGAATTTGATCAATCCCTATTCTCTCTCAGTGGGCAGAAGGTCTTGATCTTCATTTTTGTTAGGCTCTGCCCCATCTTAGAATCCTCTTTAAAGCAAGAAGCGTTCTGAATGTTAGAAATGTTTCAGCAATGTGAATTAGGAGTTTGCTATTCCTGAGCTGGTGGGCGATATCTGGTGATGAATACTCCATTAAAAAAAAAAAGTTTGTGGGTTTAAGGAGGTTGGCGCTTCACACAGGGAGAGGAGGGTGCTGTCTGTCCAAGGCTGGCATTGGGTTGGAACCTGGCTTTTAGGAACAGAGGGTTGAACGCTTCAGCAATGGCTTCTAAACTTACAACTTCCTGCACCTGGGTCGGGGTAACCCCCAGTATCAGTACAGGCTGGGGGAAGAAAGGATCGAGAGCACCCCTGCTGAGAGGGACTTGGGGGTGCTGGTGGATGAAAAGCTGGACATGAGCCGGCAATGTGCGCTGGCAGCCCAGAAGGCCAACCGTACTCTGGGCTGCATCAAAAGAAGCGTGGCCAGCAGGACGGGGGAGGTGGGTCTGCCCCGCTACTGCTTGTTCAGCCTGGAGAAGAGAAGGCTGCGGGGAGACCTGATTGCGGCCTTTCAGTACCTAAAGGGGGCCTATAGGAAAGACAGGGAAAATCTCTTTAGTAGGGCCAGCAGTGACAAGACAAGGGGTAATGGTTTTAAACTAAACCAGGGTAGGTTTAGACTAGATATAAGGAAGAAGTTCTTTACAATGAGGGTGGTGAAACACTGGAACAGGTTGCCCAGAGAGGTAGTGGAGGCCCCATCCCTGGAAACATTCAAGACCAGGTTGAACGGGGCTTTGAGCAGCCTGATCTAGTTAGCGGTGTCCCTGCTCCTGCAGGGGGGTTGGACTAGATGACCTCTAGGGGTCCCTTCCAACCCAAAACATTCTATGATTCTATGAATATATTATTAAGAACAAAATCAAGAGGAGGGAAAAAGCGGAGCTGCTGACGTGCTCATTTCAGCAGCGATGCTCAGCATCTCTTAGTTTTCCCTGGTGAGTTGGTCTGTTCATACCAATTGTACTGCTTGTTACCTTCAGGTCCGTGTGTACGCACATCCTTCACTTGAGCTTTGTCGTGTGGAGGATCGGTCTTTCAACACAGTACAAGCATATTTTCAGATTTGCCCTTCTGATGTAATTTATGGTCCAGTTACCTTTGTAATTTGAAAAGTCTTTCTTCAGCTAACATTGCGCAGTTTTGCTTTCAAAAAAGCACTTGGAGAGCTCAAGATCAAAGTACCTGTAATTATTATTGCAGCCGTCTAATGTCCTTTTGGATTAGAGTTGCGTGTAAAGTGATCAAATTGCTCCTCCCACCAAAACAATCAGCACAAAAGCTGAATTGATTGCTACCTAGCCTTTTACAAACAAGTTTCATAACTATTAGGCATGTGAATCCCATGAACTTTCAAAGAAGACAACTGTAAGATGAAGAAATTGTTAAATACATCTGCCAAAAGCCCCTGCCAAAAATTTAAAATCCACCGTAGGCATTGGGTGCCTAAGCAGAGATGGTTGTTTGGCTTCTTTTGCCCCAGACTCGTTTCTTTATGATGAGGCTTCCTTGGGGTTTTGTCATTGCAAAGCCCTCTGAGTGTTGGAGTTTCCCCTCAGCCCCCAGGTTTTTAACAGTCTTTTAGTATCAATCGCATTTGTTCTTTTGTGCCCTTTTGGCTGTGTGTTCATCCTTCCTTTATCACAGTCTCACGCTTCGCATTGCTAAGTTTCACCTGTACATGAAACCTGGGACGTAGTGGGAACGTAGCAAAGCCTCTGCCAAAGCTCAGGGAAGGGAGCTCCACCTCTCCCTGCTGCTGAGTCTGACTTTTTTTTTTTTCTGTGTAAGGTAACAAACTGTGCTGCTGCTAATCTGTCAGTTCCTCTCAGGTTGGGCAGTTTGCTGCTGCTTTCTGGAATAGGATTACAGGGCCTTTTGCTAGATGACTCTGGCTGCTGTGCATTATTGCAGCTTCTCAGACAGCTTGGCTTGCTGAGACCCACCCAGGTAAAGAAGGTAACGCAGCTTCTGGGAGCAGGTTGCCACAGCTGAGCAATTCTTTAAAAGCTGCCGAGCTGCTGCTAGTGAGAGAAGATGCTTTTTGTAAGCCATGTGAGCGCTGGAGTTGCGAAGCTTGGTCAGCAGATGTCTTGAGTGCAGCAGACAGAGCCGAGAAGGGCTGTTAAATCGAGATAATAGTGTGACTTATCTGAACTGTGGGCTGCTGCAGCTTGTCCAGTGGAAACTGGAAAGTTTTTTTGAAAATTGTTACACTAGTCTGTAATAACTGTTTGGTTTGTTCTGTGCAGAAGAGATCACGGCTCACAGCAGCAATGTATCCTCACTAGTCCTGGGGAAAAGTTCAGGCCGACTGCTGGCAACTGGAGGAGATGACTGTCGGGTCAACATATGGTCAGTTAACAAACCCAACTGCATCATGGTAAGAGGAGGCCTGTTTACAACTTTGGGGGGATGGGAATATTAATTATGAGGTACGGAGGGTGGGGAGCGAGGGAAAAGACTGTTGAGTTGTAGCCTGTGGGACTTGTGAATGGAGTTTACCAACCCAAAGCTGGATAGCTGGATTCTGGATAAAGCTAGGGACAGAATTCATAACTGGTGAGGCTGCTGCTCCAAAGAGAATCCGGGCTGGCTGGCTGCTTCAGCTGGGCCAGTGCTTGCTCAGATAACGAATATCGTGCCTTCCATTACCAGGCTACAGACAATTAAATGCAGAGTTTTGTATGAGATCAGCTGGTTTCATAGTGTAAGCTACAGGGACAGGGTTATACCCTGGAGTTTGCCCTCGTAGCGGGAAACATCCCTGGCAGGATGCGTTCCCACCTGTCCCGCAGTCCCTGTCAGCACAAAGTCTCAGAGTCGTTTGCTAACTTCCCTGTAGGCTGGGGAAGAGCAATGCTGGACACAGCGTGTTAGGAAGAGTAGGGTTACCCTGGTAGTGATCACTAAAGTGCACCATAAATATATTTAACAGATATCTTGTCCTGCATCGCTTTTGCTTTGAGTGGGTGTTGTGGAAAACCATCTTTAGCAAGTGTCCCTTGTCATGTGTTTAATTAACAGCACAATAATCTTGTGTTATGGAAGGCGTTTCTTTAGCCGGTGTGAACTTTTGTGAGGAAGAAATCAGGAAAACAAGGTCAAAAAGGCTAAAAGGAGAATGTGTCTGCTTTACTTTTGCATTAATTTACTGAGGTCAAGTATAAAGCAGTTGAGTTGGGTGCAAAAGGAGCTGCTCACCTTTGGCAGGGCTGTGCTGCTTGCATGCATAGTTAAGCTGTGTTGTTCCAGGCCCTTGGTGGTGGCATGACAGTCATTTCAAACACATTGCTTTCCATGAGAAGCAGTTTGAATGACAAAATATCTCCGTACCCTTTCCATGGGAGCAGAGAGCTGTAGCTCTCCTGCGCTTCCTGGGAACCACAGATGTTAGAGCTGCTGAGGACTTGTGTCATTCTTATATACCAAAAGAATCTTTAATTTTGGGGCTGTGCTGTATGTTTTGTCCTCTGAAACTCATATTGAGTGTTTTTATTGTTAGGATTCCAGACATTTATGTGCTGGGGAAGAGGGAGAAGAGGAACTTTTCAAGTAGCATTGCAACTTGGTTCAAATTTGAGCTCTATTTCTCACTAAGCAGGGACAATTGTGACTGTAGAGCTATGTAGAGAGGATTTTCAGCTAAGAAAGCCCCATCAGAACCGGCAGCTTTCAGCTGGCATTCCTAGCCTCTCTGCGTGTGTGGGAGGCACAGAGCTAGCTTAGCTTTTTAAAAAGACCTGTTTGAGGATGGAGTAAAGCACAGAATTTGCTTAATTGAAAAGCAAAAAGTCTGCAATAGTGGTATTTGTTTTCTAGAACTAGTTTAAAAATATCCTTGTGTTTTACTTAGATACTGGCCTCTTCAAAATACTTCTGTAACTTGTAAGCTTTTAGATGCTCCAGGATGAAAGGAACTGCATCCGTGAGAGTTATACTTTATGCCTCAAGTTAATGCTTCACTAATAGCACCAAGTTATCACTGTGACACCCACTGCTGGCAGCCATGTATGGTTCCTTGCTTACACGAAGGTTTCGAAGTAGCCCTGCTTTTGCTCTTGCTTTGATTTTGTAACCGGTTCGTGACACTTAGGTGACCCATTTAGAGCAAACACAGGGCTGTTGTGCTTGCACAGCGTAATTTTTATAATGTAAGCATGTGTCAACCTTGTCTGGGCATCTGCATCAAATGTTTACCTACCCATGTCTCTGTTGATGCATCCTTTAAAAATTAGCGTGCCCCAGAAAGTGGGTTAATGTGGAAGACGTGTGCAGTGCTATATGTAGTGTTGGTCTTAGGAGGGTGCTCTACCATACTTGTAGCTGATGAGGGAAAAGGATCAGTGGCACAACCAGGTGGCCCCAACTAAACACTTTAGTTACCAAATGAGTATGAGCAACGCCACTGTGGACAGGGCTGCATCAGTAGCTGTTGACTGTGACTCGTGGTTTTCTTTGCAGAGCTTGACAGGCCACACAACGCCCATCGAGAGCCTACAGATCAATATGAATGAGGAACTCATTGTTGCAGGGTCCCAGTCAGGGTCCATTCGAGTCTGGGACCTGGAAGCTGCCAAAAGTATGTTTCCATGAGTTCTCACTTCGTTCATGCATGCTTTTTGGAATATCCTTATGCTTAATATTGATGCTGACACAGAAGGTTCCCAATTTAGGAAAGAGCAGGAGCCTGGCATTGCTTTCATCTTAAAGCCCTCTGAGAGGGATAGAAATTCATCCACTCCCTGCTGAGGCTGTAGAGCTGTGTGTGCATGCTCGAGCAGAAATTTGCACGTGTGTTGTGGAGACTGATTTGAGGAACTAGTTTCTAGGTTTTGACCCAAGTGTCTTGAAATCTATATTCCAGATCGGGTTCCATGCATGAAGAGAATAACTATGCATATAGAATTTGTGTTCAGAGTCTCAGCTTAACATTGTCAACCTTAATCTAAATCAGATTGGAAGTTTTAAGTCTATCAGGTTCTGCATGAGACCAGGAATCCCCTGCTTGCTGACTTTTGTTCTTAGGTTCTAACTCTTTTTTTTTTTCTTTTTTTTCCCCCTCAAGTGATTTTTCTCCTCTTCTGCTCTCATATGGCTGTATAAATAGACAAAGACCTAATTTTTAATAAATTGTAAAAGCTATGAAGTCATTGAGCTCTGATCCTTTAAAGGCCAACTGTTGAGTTGTGCTTTATTTATTGTGTTTTCCTCAAATCCTGGAACAAGCTT